CATCTTAATTTTTATCTTTGAATCTATTTACAATAGAGTTTTTACAACTGATCCTCCGTCATTTTCTATTATTCTTGTTCAAAATTTAATGTAGAACACGAAAATGACATTATCTACTCAAATCCATATACAGGTAGTTGAGAAATCACTGCATTAAGTTTAAAAATATGGTTATTTTTGAAAAACATAAAATAATTTTTTTGGAAGCTAATTTTTTGACTTGGAACATTTGATATGCATCATCACACTTCATTTACTTTGTACTTACACCAAAAAAATTTTGTCACACTGAGTACAAATCACCCTGTATTTTGATAAAACTTGGCCAATTCAATTATTTTAACCTATTCATATTTTAATATAAAAATCACAATTTATTACCCTCCCCTTAGCAGCAAACCTTGTTACTAATTAAGACTAATGTTATTGAAATAGATTTAATTGAAAATCAAATCAGGCAAATGGAAACTCACTAAATCTGCAGGTTTGCTGCGGTGGGGGTACTTTGCCTATTATATGAAATACAGAGACGGCATCACAACCTATAATTGCAAGGAAAATGAAAGATTGCTGCAGATTTCTGGAGAGAGTTGAAAAAACAAAACACAAAACAATTTTTAATTATTTTAGTTATTAACGGCCGCCATTTTGAAATGACCTAATCAAAATCGACCATTGACAAACTGGGATTAGATATCGTATTCAAGCACTTGTATGCAAAATTTAATTAAAATCGGTTCAGGCATTTTGTTATTATAACCAGTTCATAGCGACCCAGCATCCTCTTACGAGTGCCATATTGATGACGTCATTACGGAAGACCAAGGTCCTTAAAAATTGGGGTCTGAGCGGTTTTAAATTCTTGGTCTTATATATTATCTTCACCCTAAGTTGCAAGATCACCGCCAGAACTAACATATTTTTCTGCTACCCACCCCACTACAAAGCTGTCAGTGTCAAGTCAAAACGATGATGGAAAAAACGAGTTAGAGACCCTGACGATTCCATGGGTGGTGATGATGCATCAGTAGCTGATGAACAATTTGACACGTGGTGGTTAAAGAGGGGTATTTACCAGTTTCTTAATTAATTTTCCTCACAACTTTAACATATGACACAGACTCATGATCAATTTTTTAATAATTGATATTAACAGGATTATTTTACCTTATTTAATTTGTCATATTTAGTTTTTCATGAATAAATTAGCCTTTTTCTAATAAACTGTAGGTTTTATTGCTTTTATTATGTTTTTTTTCGATTCTGCATCCTAAGAAACATAGAAAAAGACACCCCACTTGCTTGTATCCCATAAATAAAAATTTTCTCAAAATCACTACCCCCATAAGCTTTAACCCCCATAAAATGGTACTTCCACCCCCACAATCACTAGGGACTCTTCAGATTCCAAAATCTAATGGTAATAACTACGTTTTCTGCAAGTTTCATGAACGGACAAATTTTTATATTTTCTACTCGTTTTTTAGTATAATTTTACCTGTACTAAAGTAGAATTGAGATTAAAAAAAAAATGAATAGATTTATCGAGATAATTTTTTAAGTTTGATAAAGTACGAAGTATCGAGATAATTTTTTAAGTTTGATAAAGTAGTTTTTTTTTCATCGTGATAAACAGTATCGTTCAATACTCGTCACATTCCAGGGCTCGATAGTGTTTCCCATGATCGTCTTCGACTTGCATGTAAAACTATGTCTCGCCCCGAAATGGATCACTTTTGTGACTAGTAGTGAAATATAGTATTATGACTGATTATAGTGATAACATGATTATGTTATGGTTGGCATTTCAAATTTGCAAACAGTAACTAATAGGTCTTTACCTATTAGTTACTGTTTGCAAAATATCTATTATAGCCTAATTATAACACAGGAGATGGGCTTTATAACATTTTTGTAACCTCATAAGGGCAGTTGCTGAATGATTAATCAATCGGTGATTAGATTGGTAAATTATCAACATTAAAAACGTAATTTTGGCGTTCATTAATATCTGAATAATTCTAGGGGGGGAAATAATAATTGTTAATTCCACTGAAATGTAAAGACTGAAAAGGGAACCCGGTTTGGAATACTGTTTATGTATCCAATTTAAATACAGCCACAGGGGTTATAAAAGCAAAACCTCCATAGAGTTTAGAATCATATATCATAGAAGTTTGATTTGATGAAACTGCATAATAACTCCGTGACAAAACAGGTAGGTAGTCTAAATATATGATTTTCCTCTACATATCTAGAATGTTTTTTTTTTTTTAGTTTTCAAATAAAAAATTTGGAAAAAACTGCCTTGAGACATTCTACTACCTACAAGCTTCATCTTATATTATTTATTTACTTGTATTAAAATTGTTGTTAGGCCTATATTATTAATTTTCCTGATTGTTAAAACAATGTAAGAAATGGTAATGAAATGTGAATACTATCTATTTAGTGCAACAGATTAGGAGAATAGCTTGTACCAGATGGAAACGGACTGGCATTTTTGGAACATAGCACAATATTCAACTCATGAAATCCACAAATAGTTGTTATTGAACTGTGTTACAGACGACCATTATTATTAACACCACTTAGACAATGGTTCTACAAATACCTGCTCATTCTTACTAGATACTAATCATACAATTCATGTAATCCAAAATAAACTAGGAGTACGCTCCGAAGTCGCGTATGAGAATGAACGAAGACAATTCCATGTACTGATAATCTGTCTTTGGCCCCTCACCCTGTCCCTGCGGCGCGGCGTCTTTGCTAATATAATCCACACTAGTTTTATCCGTTTGATCTTAACATTGTTTTTAACATTATCTCACTGAACATTAATATCACTATGAGATGGGGGCAAAGGCCTGTCATAGAGAAAATCTTGTACACCACCTTACTAACACGCTATTGTGTCTATTCTAAAGACCATTGAATATCTTCTCAATGGATACTAATTTATCAACTAACTAAACCCACAACCCACAGTTAATACACATTGTCATGGATAATATTATCTTAGTTACATTACACGATATTCTAAAGACACAATACACAATCCACTTCACGAGGACAGCAACATACAGTACTAGGTACTTTGAGTGTGAATTTAAGGCTGAATGGATGCAGAGTATGCTGAATGTGCAATGGATTAGATGATCTGTGGAACTCAAATTGATACTGACTAAAGTAAGCTGTTAGTTTAGAAAAATAATCATTTATTAAAAGTAAAATCCGAATGATCGAGGGAAATTGGTCCAGTTTTGAACCATCAAAAACCTATGAACCAATTTAAATCCCCATTCCCCAATTATTCATTAGATATTGCCATACACAATACCACTTTAGTGACAACTAAAAATCCACAATAGTTATTATTAAACCTTGTAATAAACAATACAATACTGTAATCATCTTAGTAACATCACAAGTCATTCTTACTAGACACTAGACACTAATCCATCAACAAATAAAATCCACGATAGTTACTATTAAACCTTGTAATAAACAATACTGTAATCATCTTGGTGACATCACAAGTCATGCTCACTAGACACTAGACACTAATCCATCGACAAATAAAATCCACTATAGTTATTATTAAACCTTGTAATAAACAATACTGTAGTCATCTTGGTGACATCACAAGTCATGCTCACTAGACACTAGACACTAATCCATCAACAAATAAAATCCACGATAGTTACTATTAAACCTTGTAATAAACAATACAATACTGTAATCATCTTAGTAACATCACAAGTCATTCTTACTAGACACTAGACACTAATCCATCAACAAATAAAATCCACGATAGTTACTATTAAACCTTGTAATAAACAATACTGTAATCATCTTGGTGACATCACAAGTCATGCTCACTAGACACTAGACACTAATCCATCGACAAATAAAATCCACTATAGTTATTATTAAACCTTGTAATAAACAATACTGTAATCATCTTGGTGACATCACAAGTCATGCTCACTAGACACTAGACACTAATCCATCAACAAATAAAATCCACGATAGTTACTATTAAACCTTGTAATAAACAATACTGTAATCATCTTGGTGACATCACAAGTCATGCTCACTAGACACTAGACACTAATCCATCGACAAATAAAATCCACGATAGTTATTATTAAACCTTGTAATAAACAATACTGTAATCATCTTGGTGACATCACAAGTCATGCTCACTAGACACTAGACACTAATCCATCAACAAATAAAATCCACGATAGTTACTATTAAACCTTGTAATAAACAATACTGTAATCATCTTGGTGACATCACAAGTCATGCTCACTAGACACTAGACACTAATCCATCGACAAATAAAATCCACGATAGTTACTATTAAACCTTGTAATAAACAATACTGTAATCATCTTGGTGACATCACAAGTCATTCTTACTAGACACTAGACACTAATCCATCAACAAATAAAATCCACGATAGTTACTATTAAACCTTGTAATAAACAATACTGTAGTCATCTTGGTGACATCACAAGTCATGCTCACTAGACACTAGACACTAATCCATTAACAAATAAAATCCACGATAGTTATTATTAAACCTCGTTATAAACAATACTGTAATCATATTGGTGACGTGATATTGGTGACATCACAAGTCATGCTCACTAGACGCTAGACACTAATCCATCAACAAATAAAATCCACGATAGTTATTATTAAACCTCGTTATAAACAATACTGTAATCATATTGGTGACGTGATATTGGTGACATCACAAGTCATGCTCACTAGACACTAGACACTAATCCATCAACAAATAAAATCCACGATAGTTATTATTAAATCTTGTAATAAATAATAATTAGAATGCATTCAAGCTATTGTCAGTGACATTACAAAGACATTCTGACTAGAGAGTAAACTAAACTTACAATTAATGAAATCCACAATAAGTTATTCAATACCACATAGTTTCATCACCATTAGTCTGTTCTGTATCACACCTGGCTCAGGTTTGCCCAGGTCTGGCGCCAGAACCCATCGTACAGGCTGCGGCAGGCTACTGCTGGGAGGCCAGGTTGGTGGTTCCTTTAATGGTTTTTTACCCAGATCCTTTATATCCTTTTGGAGTTTTTCCTGCAAGCCTTTAATATCTTTATTATTCTAATATTAGTCCAAATACATTTAAACGTTTTGCAAAACTATTATCTTGTCATTGTTTGGTTCTAAATATTAAATTCATATTATTCAATTGAACCATGGGCGCCAACATGAATTTTCTCCAGGGGGAAAACCCAGTGTATTGTTCCAGGGGTTGGAGGGAAAGGTTGTAAATCACATTAAAACACAGTTGGTGGCTGTCCAACATATTATTGAACTGTCTTAAAGAAATTTAAAAAAATACAAATATTTTGCTACAATAGGTTAAACATCTTACAAAGCAAAGTGAATTTAAAATTGGTTATTAGCATGGACACCTCCCCCATGTCCCTGCCATTCCTCATGAAATGAACATAAATATTTAAAACAAAAAACTTGAGTATAAAAACTAAAATCTTATACATAAACTACTTATTTTTACACATAGCTGCCTGTACATATGGCTCAACCGTAATTATAACAATGTAACTCGTTAATACAACATGTAATTATATACTATTATGAAATAACATGTTTTTGAAGCATTTGCAAAAGCAACATTTTAAGATAAATTAGAATAGATTTTACTGTCAATATCACATTTTTATAGGCGGAAATTAGAATACTAAAATCATTTGTACAAACTACAGCATTTGAATTGTTTTTCATTATGTTGGTCATCTAGAGTTGTGTTTATTGTGAGGCTAGCCCATCTTGCCAGAGGGACTATACTCAGCTTCTCAGCTATTCCAGTCAACCAGGTCACACTCACACCTGTCCACGTCTGTCTCTCTCACAAACAATACTCAATCTTCACTCAACACTCATGTCACGACCTCATTACCTCAGCTTCCAACAAAACTTTCAATAGTATTGCTATCAAACTTCAATTCAGCCATTTTCTCATTAAGCTGCTTATAGCATATTAGATTAGAATCACATTTTTTAGTCAGATGTCCGAGATATTTGGTTTATTTTGTAAAGTTAAAAAACAAGTTGTAGTTATCTATTTATTTTTTAACCACATTGTTTCATTTTGGTCAAATTATTTTATAATTTTTAGTGATAATTTGGTTTAGGTATAATTCGTTTTAGTGATCTTATAACATTCAACACCGTTGACTTATTCCTCTAAGGAAATAAACACATTGTGCCAGTAAGTTGTAACTAATTGTATAACTATTTTTTCTGTTTGAAAGCTAAGAGTCTAAGCACATATATGTTTTGTCATAAAAAGTACTGACAATTTTCTTTTCATGCTGAATTGTATTTTTCCAAATAGACTCTTGTTATTGGTTGACTGTGAGCATTCCACATGTTTCTGATTTTACCCTTTAACTTCCTCTCCCTACCACCTGTATAGTAGTAACTACCTGTATAGTATATGGAGAAAGTATTGATTTCGTCAACATTTTCGAGTTTGAGTTTTTTTTATTTATATATCCATTTTGGGTCCCCCTGAACCCAAAAGAGTGGTTTTCGAAGTTATGTGTGTCTGTATGTGTGAATGTGTTGTGTACAGACCACACCTGTGGTCCGATTTTGATGAAATTTGGTATGTGGATACTATTGTCCATAGTATCTCCAGGTGTTTTTTTTTTAATTTTCTTGATTTTTAATTATGATTTTTCCCTAAAACCTCACAAGATAACAGGAAAATGAAATTTTAACAAAAACTGCTCAAACTATTTTGGTTGAAATTTAAATTCTTAAGGTCATTTTTAACCCCAAACAAAATAGTACAAACCCCATTGCAGTAAAAATTATAGTTCAAAAGCTATTGTGGCTTTTGTGATTTTTCCCATGGAATATCAAAGTTACTCCCACCCTTGCATGGTTAGGGTTGTTAAGTCAACGAGAGAAAGTATGTGTCAGTTTACATTTTATAGGAACATCCTGACTCTTGAACAATAATTATTTTAAATACTAAACCAATATTGCAGTATTTCAAAACTAAATATTTAAATGCTTTACATATCCAAAACAAACCAAATATTAACGTAATGGGAGGGGTTTGCCAACTAAAGAAATTTGTGAATAATTAACAAACTATCTAATTATTGTAGGCACTAATAATAAAATCTTTAAAGTTAAACAGTTTGTTAAACGAGTTTTCTAAAATTGCACCAAATAAACCACAATAAATGTTACTGACATGGAGTTAAAGCATGTCCCTTGATTGCCAAAACTGATCTGTATTCCTCCAATGGATTTGCGAAGGAATATGTAAACACTGCATGCCTTCTCTGTAGCTTAGGTGCCAGTGAGAGTTGGCTATTTGAAGTTCACATTGCATGCAGTCTGATACAATATTTAAACACTGCATGCCTTCTCTGAAGCTTAGGCGCCAGTGAGAGCTGGCTATTTGAAGTTCACATTGCACGCAGTCTGATACAATATGTAAACACTGCATGCCTTCTCTGTAGCTTAGGTGCCAGTGAGAGTTGGCTATTTGAAGTTCACATTGCACGCAGTCTGATACAATATGTAAACACTGCATGCCTTCTCTGAAGCTTAGGCGCCAGTGAGAGCTGGCTATTTGAAGCTCACATTGCAAGCAGTCTGATACAATATGTAAACACTGCATGCCTTCTCTGTAGCTTAGGTGCCAGTGAGAGTTGGCTATTTGAAGTTCACATTGCAAGCAGTCTGATACAATATGTAAACACTGCATGCCTTCTCTGTAGCTTAGGTGCCAGTGAGAGTTGGCTATTTGAAGTTCACATTGCAAGCAGTCTGATACAATATGTAAACACTGCATGCCTTCTCTGTAGCTTAGGTGCCAGTGAGAGTTGGCTATTTGAAGTTCACATTGCACGCAGTCTGATACAATATGTAAACACTGCATGCCTTCTCTGAAGCTTAGGTGCCAGTGAGAGTTGGCTATTTGAAGTTCACATTGCACGCAGTCTGATACAATATGTAAACACTGCATGCCTTCTCTGTAGCTTAGGTGCCAGTGAGAGTTGGCTATTTGAAGTTCACATTGCAAGCAGTCTGATACAATATGTAAACACTGCATGCCTTCTCTGTAGCTTAGGTGCCAGTGAGAGTTGGCTATTTGAAGTTCACATTGCAAGCAGTCTGATACAATATGTAAACACTGCATGCCTTCTCTGTAGCTTAGGTGCCAGTGAGAGTTGGCTATTTGAAGTTCACATTGCACGCAGTCTGATACAATATGTAAACACTGCATGCCTTCTCTGTAGCTTAGGTGCCAGTGAGAGTTGGCTATTTGAAGTTCACATTGCAAGCAGTCTGATACAATATGTAAACACTGCATGCCTTCTCTGTAGCTTAGGTGCCAGTGAGAGTTGGCTATTTGAAGTTCACATTGCACGCAGTCTGATACAATATGTAAACACTGCATGCCTTCTCTGAAGCTTAGGCGCCAGTGAGAGTTGGCTATTTGAAGCTCACATTGCACGCAGTCTGATACAATATGTAAACACTGCATGCCTTCTCTGTAGCTTAGGTGCCAGTGAGAGTTGGCTATTTGAAGTTCACATTGCACGCAGTCTGATACAATATGTAAACACTGCATGCCTTCTCTGAAGCTTAGGCGCCAGTGAGAGTTGGCTATTTGAAGTTCACATTGCACGCAGTCTGATACAATATGTAAACACTGCATGCCTTCTCTGAAGCTTAGGCGCCAGTGAGAGTTGGCTATTTGAAGCTCACATTGCACGCAGTCTGATACAATATGTAAACACTGCATGCCTTCTCTGAAGCTTAGGCGCCAGTGAGAGTTGGCTATTTGAAGTTCACATTGCAAGCAGTCTGATACAATATGTAAACACTGCATGCCTTCTCTGAAGCTTAGGCGCCAGTGAGAGTTGGCTATTTGAAGTTCACATTGCACGCAGTCTGATACAATATGTAAACACTGCATGCCTTCTCTGTAGCTTAGGTGCCAGTGAGAGTTGGCTATTTGAAGTTCACATTGCACGCAGTCTGATACAATATGTAAACACTGCATGCCTTCTCTGAAGCTTAGGCGCCAGTGAGAGTTGGCTATTTGAAGTTCACATTGCACGCAGTCTGATACAATATGTAAACACTGCATGCCTTCTCTGTAGCTTAGGTGCCAGTGAGAGTTGGCTATTTGAAGTTCACATTGCACGCAGTCTGATACAATATGTAAACACTGCATGCCTTCTCTGAAGCTTAGGCGCCAGTGAGAGTTGGCTATTTGAAGTTCACATTGCACGCAGTCTGATACAATATGTAAACACTGCATGCCTTCTCTGAAGCTTAGGTGCCAGTGAGAGTTGGCTATTTGAAGTTCACATTGCACGCAGTCTGATACAATATGTAAACACTGCATGCCTTCTCTGAAGCTTAGGCGCCAGTGAGAGTTGGCTATTTGAAGCTCACATTGCACGCAGTCTGATACAATATGTAAACACTGCATGCCTTCTCTGTAGCTTAGGTGCCAGTGAGAGTTGGCTATTTGAAGTTCACATTGCACGCAGTCTGATACAATATGTAAACACTGCATGCCTTCTCTGAAGCTTAGGCGCCAGTGAGAGTTGGCTATTTGAAGTTCACATTGCACGCAGTCTGATACAATATGTAAACACTGCATGCCTTCTCTGAAGCTTAGGCGCCAGTGAGAGTTGGCTATTTGAAGCTCACATTGCACGCAGTCTGATACAATATGTAAACACTGCATGCCTTCTCTGAAGCTTAGGCGCCAGTGAGAGTTGGCTATTTGAAGTTCACATTGCAAGCAGTCTGATACGGTCAGTGACTACTTGGTTTATTTTCACTTCCCACATGTGTTTATAGTAACGCCATCACAACTGTTTTCCCTGCCTCTGCCATGCCAATAAGTTTCCTTGTTTTGCCTTGCATTGTCTAAGACATGTTCTTATAATCTTTATATTTTTGTACTACCGTATTAATTTATTTATTTCACTTTTACTACTTATAATCACATTACCTTCCCTCAGAAAAGGCTATTTTTTTCAAATTCGTCTTTAACTTTGATATACGTACTAAG